GGCAACATGAGCTCGCTGGGCTTCACCAGCAAGGAGCAGCGCAACCTGGGCCTCCTTGTGCACCTGATGACCAGCAACCCCAAAATCCTGTACGCGCCTGTGGGCACTGAAGTGGACAAGGTCATCCTGAAGGTGAGAGTACAGAGGCTGAGACCCCTGTCCTGCCTCGCCCACCAACCCCACTTCGCAGAGACCTCCTCTGTTGGTGGAGTGGGGCCAGGGCTGAGCGGGGAGGAAGCGGGCAGCTTGTCCTGGCCCCCTGTTGGGGTAGCGATGTCTGCTCGGAGGTGGGCAGATACCTCCATGACTGTCCCAGTGAGCAGCGGGGCCCCCTGCCTCTTCCCGCTGTGTGACCTTCCTCCCTTGCAGGCCAACGAGACCTTCGCCTTCGTGGGCAACGTCACCCACTACGCCAAGGCGTGGCTGAACATCTCCCCCGAGATCCGTGCCTACCTGGAGGAGGGCAGGCTGCAGAGGCGCATCCGCTGGCTCCAGCAGGTTGGATAGTGAAGAGGGGACCGAGCCCACCTGGGCTTCACTGCCCTGGGGCTGGGACGGGGCTGTCCTACCCCCCAGGCACCTCGTAACTTCTTCACGTGAGGCTCTTGGGTGCTCCTGAGTGCCCACCCTGCTCTTGCAAGGACCAGACTGGATCCCTGCACAGGGCAGACACTGTTCCCCTGTCCCCAGGAGGAGCGTTGGGTCCTGTCTGTGGCCATGGGGAGGACAAGAGGGGCTGAGAGGCAAGGCGTCCCCCAGCTTCTCCCTCCTGTGTCTCCTCCTCTGCCCCAGTTCACCGCTGACCTCCACAAGCACCCAGAGATCCTGAATGTCTCGGACAGCGATGTTCTCCACAACTTCCTCAATGGCAACTTCTCCCTGCCCAACGCCAGCGTCCTGCTCCAGCAGCTGGACACCATCGACAATGCCGCGTGCGGCTGGGTCCACTTCATGGCCAAGGTGAGGTTGTGCCCACCTGTGGGCACTCGTGGGTGCTGGAGCGACACCCTCTGCCCACGGTCAGGCTCTGCAGGGCTGAGGAGGGGTCAGGTCTGCTCCGACCTCCTTGGGGCCCTGGGATGGGAGCTCAGGGCTTCTGCAGTGTCAGGAGCTTTGGGGTAGATGACAGTGGTGGAGGTGCCCATCCACCGCTGGGTTTGGGGGCTTGCAGGGTGCTGTGGGTGTCACGTGCTGCACCATGTGCCGGGTCTGCTTGCCACACTCTTCAGGGTGAGTCTCACCAGCCTTCCCCTCCCACCAGGTCAGCGTGGACATCTTCAAAGGCTTCCCAGACGAGGAGAGCATCGTCAACTACACACTGAACCAGGCTTACCAGGACAACGTCACAGTCTTTGCCAGTATGTTCCTGGGAACCAGCCCCTTTGCGGGGTCCCTAGAGCCATGTCCTTCTCCAGCTGTGCCCGGGCTTGCGGCCACCATTATTGGGACAGGGCACCCTTGGTGCACGTGTGGGGTGGATGAGCAGACTGAGCATCTTGTGGTACCTGCCCTCTGCCCCTGCCCTGTCCTGGCTCTCCCACTGCTGCTGTCTGCGGTCCATGTGCCCTCACATGCTGTGCCAGGGCCGTGCCCACCCTCCTCATCCGTGGCAGCCCTCATGTTGCCCTTGGCAGGGACACTTGGAGCCCTCCGCATCGCTGCCCTTCACTGCGGGCTGGCCGGTGTGGCTGTTTTCCGTGGTGCCAGCGAGCTCTCCGCCTCTCCCGCTGTCTGCAGGTGTCATCTTCCAGACCAACAGGGACGGCTCGCTGCCCCCCCACGTCATGTACAAGATCCGGCAGAACTCCAGCTTCACAGAGAAGACCAACGAGATCCGGCGGGCGTACTGGCGGCCCGGCCCCAACACTGGTGGCCGCTTCTACTTCCTCTATGGTTTCGTCTGGATCCAGGGTGAGTGCCAGCTCCCTGGCACAGCCGCCCAACTCCCCAGCCCCTGCCCACACTGCCCGCTCAGCTTGGCCTCTCCTCCTCCTCCACAGACATGATGGAGCGCGCCCTCATCAACACCTTTGTTGGCCATGACGTGGTGGAGCCCGGCAACTACGTGCAGATGTTCCCATACCCGTGTTATACCCGGGATGAGTGAGTAACACCAGGGTGGGCACAGGCAGAACCTTCCCTCTTCTCATTTGCACACCAGGACACTTCAGCTGGGAAAAGGAGACAAGTTTAGGGGGATGGGAGAGGTTGGTGGCATTAGGAGTGATGAGCAACCAGTTAAGCTCTGTTCCTTGGACCACCGGGCTAGGCAAGCAGGGAAAGGATTTTGTGCCCAGTTTGCAGCTGAACTTATGGCTGTGGAGTGTCTTGGAGGCTGAAAGACTTGGAGAGAACAAGAGGAGTGTGGTGAATGGATGGTTCATGGGTTGGCCGGTGGTTATTGAGCACTGTGGTCTGGAGGAAGCAGCTGGAGAAGTCCCAGAGCCACGAGCCCTCCAGAGCAGGAGGGTGGGTAGGACACCATCCACACCAGCGTAGGCAGGGCACCAGACTGAGCCCGTGGCTGGGG